AAGGAGAGTGACCTCTCTAGGTTTGAAGATCAATTGAATTACTATGTTGCTCATGTTGCATTTAAAGCACAAAATAACTCCATGTGATATCTTGATAGTGCGTGTTCAAGACATATGTGTGGTGACAAAGCCTTGTTCTCGTCTCTCGATGATTGGAACGGCGGTATAGTTACCTTTGGGGACGGAGCTACTGCGTCCATCCTAGGAAAATGTGTCATTAATATAACTGGACTACCTGCCATCTCAAATGTGCTATATGTGAAAGGGTTAAAGTCTAACTTGTTAAGCATTAGTCAAATATGTGATGCTGATTTCGAAGTTTGTTTTGTCTAGAAAAGGTGTACCGTGTATGATTCTACTGGTAACATTGTCCTCGTAGGTGTAAGAACATTAGATAATTTTATGGAGTTCTTCCTAATTTCGACTACATGTGCAACAGTACCAAGATTAATATCACTAAACTGTGGCATCAACGTTTTGGTCATATGAACCATAAAAGTTTGTCTAAACTCGCTAAGAAGGAACTTGTAAATAGCTTACTTAAACTTGAAAATATTGATACCACTGTATGTAGCCTGTATCAACAAGGTAAACAGTTTAGAATTTCTCATAAACAAACTTCTAAGATCTTGACAAGCAAGCTACTCGAATTATTCCATATGCATTGAATGGGACCATCAAGGACTGAAAAATTTTGGTGGTAAACGATATATCTTGGTTGTGGTTGACGATTTTTCTCGATATACATGGATTGAGTTGTTGAGAGATAAAACTGAGGTATGCGATTCTATCATCTCATTGTGCAAGAAGCTTAGAAATGATAAATACTTTACCATATCACGATTTCGTAGTGATCATGAAAAGAAGTTTGAAAACTCTAATATTGAGAACTTCTGTCTGGAGGAGGGACTCCAACATGAGTTCTCCTCTCCGATCACTCCACAACAAAATAGGGTGGTTGAGATTAAAAATCGCGTGCTTCAAGAAATGGCTAAAGCCATGCTTGATGGTAAGGGCATAGCTATGCATTTCTAGGGTGAAGCCATCAACACTACATGTCACATAGTAAACATGGTATATCTTAGACGTAAAATTGATATGACACCTTATGAGATCTGGAAAGGTAAATAACCTACTGTCAAGTATTTTCGTGTGTTTGGGAGCAAATGCTACATTCTACGAGATAAAGAACATTTGGAGAAGTTTGACTCCAAAAGCTCGACTGTCACTAACCCTTAAGCGACATTGCCATTAAGGAAATTTTTATTTCATTTTTAAAGGCTTTTTGTTTGACTCATTCATTCCCTAACCTACATATAAATATCTAAACATTACAGAACGACTTGACAATGTTGATTATTGAGAGAAACACATTCCATTGAGATCATCTTCATATATTGTGCTTTCAACTTTCGTCCTGTTATTGACTTTTGGTGAGAAAAATATCAGATTCATAATCCAAATACCAAACTATTGCTTCCTTCATATTTGTCAAAGTTTCTGAAGATCAAGAGAAGATGACTGGAGTTCTAATCGTTGAAGAACGCGGGGTTCTTCGTGTATTCACAGGAGATAGACGATTTCACAAAGCTCAGAGTTGCTGCAGGAGAGCGCAATTCAGGAAAGTTTTGAAAACTGTATTTAGGAGTTGGTGCAGGAGCACAGAATCCAGGAGAGCTATTGGAATTGCAGTCAGTAGATCATATAGTATGTGTCGACGTCTAGTCCGGTAGACTGTAAGTTATAAATCGTTTATAGTGGATTGTTGACTAGCAAAGTGCCTGAAGTTTTTACTCAGTTTGGTTTCTCTGTGATCAATTCTTGTGTTCATTTATTGCTTATTAAACTCCAGTATTTCAACATATGAATAATTGAATTGCATGCTTAACCATCTAGAAAATAATTAATAGTGACTTGTTACTATTTACTTGTTAAGTAATTTTAAATTCCGCATTATCACCTATTCACCCCCCTCTAGGTGTTGTTAGGGTCGAACTACGTATTTTCAACAATAATTCATCTCCCTCAAGAAACTTGGGAACATGCCTAATTAATGATCTCTTTATTCTCCTCAGAATTGTTTAAATCTTCATTTCTATTCACGATTCCATGAATTGTTCTCTCTTTTCTGCACGTGAATATGATTCTCAATCAAGTATCCTTTTCTTCAAGATGTTGTCCGATTTTGATTCTTCTCTTGTCATTTTTGCTTCGAAATACATTTGAAAGTATAAAATGAATATTAGGCTCCGTTTGATAGCCTTAATTTTCTATGGAAAAAGAAAATATTTTCCTTTTCCACCCTTAAAAAGCTGTTTGATAGGTAAATTTTTCCATGGAAAACGTTTTCCACCTTTTTCTAGGTACAATCATTTGATGCACAAAAGCTTGATTTTGTTTTCCCACCTATTAGTTGGGAAAACATTTTCCACCTTTTTTTTTAGCAAAGGCAGCCAATTCTATCAATTATTGTAAAAAGAATTTTCATTTTTGTTGACAATTTCTATGTAAAACAAAATTAAACGAATATGTTAATTTTTTCTAATTATTTAAATTTATTTATTTTTTACTTTTTGGTAATTAGAACAAATTCTAGACGTATTGGTAGAAAAATTAACACTTTAAAGGACAATTTTTATAAAAAAACGAAGCCAAACGGATATCAAACTTTCAACATTTTTCAGGTAAAAAATTATACCAATCAAACACAATTAATTACAATTCCTAGGAAAATATTTTCTAGGAAAATCTTTTCCTATAAAACATTTTTTTTCCACCCATTTTCCACCATTTCAATCAAACGGACCCTTAAAAGAATAACCCTGTATACAAGGAACATTATCTTAACTTTATCAATGGAGGAATTAGATGCAAGTTGCAAAAATATCATTGTTGAGATTAGAAATCTTGACATAATGCTTTCTTAGTCACACCTCAAATAGTTGGATTAATGTTGGATTCCAGTTGGAGGATAAGTTCAAGTGTTTCCTATATAGATTACAGAATGAAGAAATCCATATTATTATCAGTTAAAATAATTTATTTGCTCTTTAATATACATCTTTCAATTAATAGTCATCTAATCATATTAAAGACAATACATTATAACCTCTATAAATTATTGGCCTTTGAGATCATATCAATCTATTACTTAAAAGAGGTATTAATTAATCGATAAATTGATAATTTAAAGAATGTATTTACAATTCAACGAATATACATTTAATTAAATAAAATCCATTGCATTTTATCAATCTAATCAATTGAATATAAATTAATTCACTAAATATACATTAAATTAATCCAAAAATAAATTCATTGTACCTAATTTAATAATTTTCATTATAATTGCATTAATTTAATTAAACGAATTCAACGAATAATATAAAAAAAATATGTATATAAACAAAAAAAAAAAAAAAATCTTGTATTTCATCATTATAATAGCGTGAAGCTTGAGACACGCAAGGAAGCATTCGAAGCATTACAAACTTAAAACACTTCATAATTTTTTATTGCAATTCGGAAATTCAGCCATTGAGCTTCAACTAGATGCAATAAGACAAATTGAGACGAGATCCAACTAGATTTAAATAACAAGAAAAAAAAAATTAACAATATACTCATGTCTATAATATATTAAATATCACATCAAGTGACGATAATTTTTTGGACAATTCTAGCCTCACTGTAATTCAATTATTTTAATACTACTTTATTTAATTTATTTAACCATTTTACTTGCAATCAATGTACATGTGCATTTGATAGATTCATTTCATCTGTGTGCTTTTATTAATGTATGAATTTTCTATAATTAATTCTCAATTAATTAACATTCAAATTCATTTAATTAATATTCATCTTTATTTATGCTTTATTAATTCTAATTATAAGTTAATTAGAATTTTACATTAAAAAATGCTTTTCATTATTCATGTTCATGTATGCTAATCAACATTCAGTTTTATTTAATTAAAGATTAAATAAATAATTTAACATTCATTGTTACTCATATATTCTCTGGTGTTAATTCTAAATTAATTAACATATATTACAAAATATAGATTATTAATTTATCAAATATTAATTTATAGAGGTTAGAACATGAATCACGCATATCGATGAGGTGTTTAATAATTTAAGTATGAGTTATGCCTAATGTTACCTATCTAGTTGATAGATGCAGTGTTTGGCAAAGTATGATTGAAGTAAAAATTGATTATTTTTCAAACAGTCTAATAATAGAATTTTATATAGTACTTTGTCGAGGAAGGTGGCAAAATTTTCTAACAATGTAGTGAGATTATTTTCATATGATTAATACTGATCAGTTAGGGTCATTGACCGATCAGAATCTAGAGGGTTGAGGTGTCATCACCTCAACCCCTAATTTGAAAAAAAGGGGCTCCACATGAATTCAAATCAAGGGCCGAGGTGGATGCACCTCAACCCCTGAATTTGACCCTGGATGAGCAGTATTGCTCATTTTCATATTGTAAAAGTCAAAGGACAATGATTCAAGAAAAGTGAATGAAAACAATAGTTGAGCTTATCCATCCAACAAAAATAAAAATGAATAATTTTATTTGCTTATAAATGAGAATGAATAACTTATTGAGATCTTTACGTAACTCAAGTGGTGTGAGTGAATCATCTAATTGTGTTCGACTCTTCTTTGGATAAGGGTGAATTTTCAGAAAAGTGAATATTACTTATCGAAAAAATGTATGATTGAAAATGTGGTTTGAGTTTTTTTTATCAAATAAGTCATTTTAATCTTAAGCAGTCAAGCTGTTTTAGCTCAGTCTATTATGTTCTGGGATCATCACAACCTGAGTCTATTTATTGGCTCTACATTTGATGCTAAACACCAAAATTTAATAAAGGTTTAATGCCGGGCGATAAAAAATAAAGAAAACCAGCGGCTTGATTTTTCGGTTCTGACCGCCAGAGGTTTCTGCAATTCATTTTTTGGCTACTTACCATTTTCCTGAAAGATGTGGCCGCCTTCTTTGCTGTCGGATCTTCTACATGAATCCGGCGGGGTGGCGGTGATCGACGGCGGCCTGGCGACGGAGCTCGAACGCCACGGTGCTGACCTCAATGACCCTCTCTGGAGCGCTAAATGCCTTCTCACCTCCCCTCATCTAATCCGTTCCGTAAGCCTTTTCAAAATTCTTCATTTTGATTTCTTGATTTCCCTACCTCGGAAGATAGATTTGAAGTGTTTACGAATTGGACGTGTGGAGCTTGAGAATACTTTATTACTGTTAAGTTTTCACCTCTACGGAGGATTAACCTAAATCGTGTGTTTTATGTTATTATTTGTAGCTCTTGGTAGCATAGCATGAGATTAAGCGTTTAATCTATAGCACTACCATCCCTTGTCTTAGTGAGTTGGCCAACCCAGTGTTTTCAGTGTTTTTTCTTGATTTTTTTATGTGTTTCTTTTGATCTTTGCGTTTATGTATAATATAATTGTGGATAGTTTGATAAATCTGATGAGTGGAGATAATATAACATAATCCTCCCTGTAATAAACAGGCCGCTATTGAATTCAAAGAAAAGGGCAAGCCCACCTAGTCTCAACTACATTTACCATTTCTTATAATTGAAAAGATAATGAAGATTTCTAAAATATATGATTCTGTCTGCTTGGCTCATTGTTTACTTATAAAGCAGGTACACCTTGATTACCTTGAAGCTGGTGCAGATATAATAATTACAGCATCTTACCAGGTACTTGGTTTCTTTTCATCAGATTCCGAAAATCTTTTCTTCCTATCTGAATGTACATGGGAATTGAAATATGCCCCAACTTGGATTTTTACAGGCAACAATCCAGGGGTTCAAGGCCAGAGGTTTTTCTCAAGAAGAAAGTGAAAACTTGCTCAGAAAAAGTGTTTCAATTGCACGTGAGGCACGGGATGTATACTACAGTAGATGTAGTGAATCCTCTTCTGATGACATAGCAGATGGTAGAATTCTCAAACATCGGCAGATCATAGTTGCAGCATCTGTGGGAAGTTATGGTGCTTATCTTGCTGATGGTTCTGAGTACAGGTGAATAAGAGCCATTGGCTTTTCTTCTATTTGGTTTAATATGATTTCTATAGTATCAACTTTCACAAGGCAATAAACTTAACAGACTCTTTTCTCCACACAATTTCTGAGATAGTTCTTCCATTCTTGAATTCGTGAATTAAATTCTAATGACGCTTTTTCTAGCAGCTGTGTTAGCTTGGCTTTTTGGAATTTTCCATAGGCTGTGACCTTTTTATTTGCATAACAAAGGAATAACATATGCGTGTGTATTGTACATATATTCCACTATCCTTCTTTGTTAAGTTCAAATTATAGTTGGCAATTTCTAAATTTGTAATTGACAATTTCCTTAGTAAAAATCAAGCCTTAGTTAAATTGTATTAGGGGTTTATCGAGTTGTAATCAAAATCAAAATATGAGTTATTAAATCCTAATTAAAGTCAAAATAGTTGGGGTTGGTAGCATAGTTCTTGAAGGAGTCAAAGATGTCCAAGAAGATCATATATGATCAGGGAATGCACTTAGAAGTCTAAAGAGTGTCACAGAGCCGTACAAGTTATGCTCCAAATTCTCAGTTTGCAACATGCAACGCATTTTTCACATAAAATATTGAAATTTGGATAAGGCTATTTCTAGAATAATTATAATTGTAGCCATTTGAGTTAGCTTTTTAACGCATTTTGAATCACCCCAATTGGATATCGAAAGAGAAAGTTATGATAAAAATATTGACGACTGCTCAATTGCTGCTTGTTTGTCACTGACTTGGTGCTCGAGCGACGGATTGATGCCCTGAACGTCCAAAAGTGTGTTGAATCATATTTATTCCATAGAGATCATTCCTTTGAAGATCCAAAACATTCATTGATTCTAAGATTCAACCACCACATATTACTTGATCCATAAATTCATCTAAATCATATTTTGTTGATCAAACCATATTGTTTCATATAAAAGCACATATTAAAACACGTAAGATCTTTTACTCGAACACCAAACCACCTAATCAACCAGAGATAAATCGATACCAGAGATCAGAAGCTGTTGCAGAAGTAAATTCAGGAGGACTAAGGTGAGGTACCATGAGTCGGGATCTAGCGTCAAGAGCACGCAGTCCAGGAGGGCTAAGGTATAAACTGGGTGTCGGGATTTGTTTTGAAGGAGCGCACCTCCAGTAGGATCAAGGGAGACTGGATGAATTGAGGTCAAAAGTTCTAGGGGTAGACGGGTTTGGACTGTACTGTAAGTTTGCTTCGATTTATATTAGATTATTGACTAGCAAAGTGTCAGGAGTTTTTACTTAGTTAGGGTTTCTCCGTGATCATATTTATTGTTCTTTACTGCTTTAATTATTGATTGTGGTATTCAAATTTAGGATAAATTGACTTGTCTGATTTAACCATTTGGAAACAATTAAAAAGTGACATGTTGCTTTTAATTGTATAATCCCGCACCTTGGGTCTAAATATTCAATAATTTAAAGCTTTCAAGTGGTATCAGAGCCTTAATTGCAATCCTTGACCCGAATTGTCTAGATGAGTCAGTTATTGTTTGTTCTTCCTTATTTTGATGGTAGTAATTATGCCTATTGGAAGGTTAGAATGAGAGCTTTCCTTAAATCTATGGATGAACAGGTTTGGGTGAGCGTTCAGAATGGTTGGACCGTACCATCTACCACAGTTGCAGGTGTAGTTACCCCTATTGATATTTCCACTTGGTCTAAGAAAGATTTAGATGAGTATAATTGGAACAGTAAAGGGCTACATGCTCTATTTATGGCTGTATCATCCGAAAAGTTTAGGTGCGTATCGATGTTTAAGTCTGCGAAAGAAATTTGAGATATTCTTGAGACCACACATGAGGGAACCAAAGCTATCAAGAACTCTAAATTATAGATGTTGACTATTAGATTTGAGGAAATTAAGATGAGAGATGATGAGTTTTTTGATGATTTCTATGCTAAACTAAATGACACAGTCAACTTTAGCTTCAATTTAGGTGAGCGAATTCTAGAGGCTAAGATTGTAAGAAAAGTGATAGATCTCTACCTCAGAAATTTAGATCTAAAGTGACTGCTATTGAAGAGACTAAGGACTAGATGCAATTAAAATTGAAGAACTCATATGGTCTTTCAAAACATATGAACTTAGCCTACATCAGTGTAAGAAAGAAAAACCCATAGCCCTCAATACAGTTAGGGAAGCTGTGAATGACACCTGTGATGATGAAAAACTCAAGGATGAGGACCTTGCCTACCTTGCCAGGAAATTTAAGAAATTCCTTAAAAAGAAGAATAGATCTTCTAAGAGATATAAGGGTGAATCTAGTATACCTATGAAAGATAAACGTGAGAAGAGTAATACTCGAGACTCTTGGAAGAGGTCTGCGAGGTGTCATGAGTGTTAGGGATTTGGTCATGTGAAATTTGAGTGTCCTAAAAGACCTAGGCAAAGCTATAAATATTAGTCTAGCTCAAAATAATCAAAATGAGAAGTCCTCTCATGATGAGATTGAGAAACATATGGCATTCAGGTCTGTAGTTAAGAATGGGTCACTTGAGGATACAGAGAAATCTGATTCTTCACATGAAAGGTAAGAAGATGAGCGTGACATATATGAGGCTATTGATGAGCTCTTTCAAGATTGCCTTTAGTTGAAAAAGATCAATAGTGCTGCTCTTAAGAAGTTGCATAAGATGGAGTTAGAGAGAGACTCATATCTGACCTTCAGGAGTCTACTGAAAACCTTAATAAGTTAAGATTAGTCAATGAGAACTTAGAGACTCAAGTTAAAACTCTAACAAGTGACCTTCAAAAATCAAATGCTCAACTTCTTTCCTTCATAAGTGGATCTCAAAAACTTGACAGTCTTTTAGGATTGAACAAGCATGTTGGAAATAAAGGAGGTCTAAGATATAAACAGACTGATCATAACACTGTCAGTACTTCCAAGTCCACGTGTCCCTGCCACCAACCAGCTTAGGTATGGTGCAAATCCTGAACTCATGAACAAGGGTATCTTAGGACAGAGGCCTACTAGGCGTCGTAGGACTAAGCAACCCAGAAATCAATACCAGCAACCACAGATTTTGACCTAAGTTTATTCCTACGTGTCACAATTGTGGTGAGTTTAGACACATAAGACCTAAGTGTCACAAACTTTTGAAAAGAAATAGAAGTTAGAATATATGTAGCCAATCGAGCTGATGACATAATTGATTAGAATTACTTCTGCTTCTCGAATAGTCTGGTTGAAGAAGAGTAATCTGAGAGATTATGAATCTGATCACGGTGTTCTTCATAGTAAGAGTGTATCTTAATTAGTAGGTACTTTGATGCATGCATCTGCATTATTCATAGTATCTACATATTTATGCATGCATTTTAAACTTTTTTTTTTTTTTTTTTTTGGCATTTTATTTATTTGTTATCTAGAAAAATAATTTTTTAAAAAAAATTAAAAAAGGAAATATATATATTTTTAAATTTTTTGGACATGTTATTTTGTGAACAAGTACTAGTTATGTTCATAATTGGTAAATTAAATTACATTAACTTATTTGGAGTATTTGATATATGTTATTACATGTATTTTATGTACCGCACACATTAAACTCTTGTGAGTGAATTTTGACCGTGTGTTTGAGATTTGGGATGATGGCTATCTGCGTGGTGAATTAACTTTAAATATGAAATGACCTTTAAACTAGTTGATCTAAGCTCTTATATAATCTCCTTAAAAGAAAGATTACTTTTGAGCTTCAAGAAAAATTTTGAAGCACATAAAATGTCGTGAGACAATCTTATACTTTTTTCGTAGCCTATATGACTTGACTTGAGTTATTTAGCTTGTAGGGTATCTTAATACTTGGTTGCCTATAAGTTATTTGATTTTGGAGTCATCGGCTTAAAGCTTGTTAGGGGTTAGGTAGAAAATTTAATGAAAAAGAGTGACACATAAAATTTGAAACTTAAAAAATATATACATACGTATATATGTGCTCACCGCTCACAAATAGGGAGAGAGAGAGAGAGAGAAAATTTATACAATTAATTATGAGCTCTTTAATTTATAAGGGTTCTAAAAACACTGGGTCTGATTTCATACTTTAAAGAATATATTCATTTACCGGTGATTCTTCACACGTCTTTCTCATTGATTTAAGGTTTTAAGACTTTCTTACATGATTTTAATGACATTTTTCACACATGAAGGACTTATACAATTTACTCTATCTAGGTTTAAAGTAAATTATGTGGGAAAAGTTTACTTGTTTATGAACTATGCATGTATGAGTAAGCAAATAACTGTTCATGATAAAGTTGAAAATTTATGAAAAATTCAAAAAAACTGTTGGTCTCGAAATTGGAAATTTTTTATTCTTTCATCACGTGTTTTTGCATAATTTTTGCATCATTATACATGTGCATAATTTTTTTTAGTCATTTCTCTTTGTGTTTGACTTGATTATCACTTGTCTTTCCTTTGTTATTTGTGACAAAAAGAGGGAGAGATATGTATGTATTTTAGGGAGTTGATTATATGAATTAGGGGGAGATATGTGTATTTATTTCAGGGAGTTGGTTATATGAGTTAAAGGGAGAATTTTAGAATTTTTGATTGATAAATGACTTAGGGGGAGTCATTCGATATATTTGTTGGAATTTTATTATTGATATAGTTTTGTGTTTTGTTTATATCGATATAAAATTCTATGGTTTATTTCTAAATTTATAATTCACACGATATTACATGTTTCGATGTTACACGTGTTTTATTTAACTTAGGCCCTGTTTGGCTCACATTAAAATTTTAATTTTCATTCTTCTACTCATTTTCAACCATATATTTTTCAATAAAATAATATTTTCCATCACATCAATAACTTTTCCTTCTTTTTCAAACACACATTCTCCGTCAATCTATTATTCCGAAATACATTCTTCCAAAATAATATCCATCAAACACACCCTTAGTTATATGATTTTGGTTTGATTGTTTCCTCTTCCTTTTCATTCTTGATATATCCATATGAAGAACATCGTAAGTAGCACTATCTATACTCATGGTTTGACTTTAAGTCTAACACGAGACAATCTGATGTCTTCCTTGTATAATCCTTGTGGACTTGCAGCGGTGACTATGGAGATGCTATGGATCTGGAATTTTTGAAAAACTTTCATCGGAGGAGGGTTAAGGTTCTTGCAGACTCTGGTCCTGATCTTATAGCTTTTGAAACAGTACCAAACAAGCTGGAAGCTGAGGTAAGAACATTCCCCTCTCCTCCACCGCATTATTGTCCCTGAAAATAATCTGTAATGTGCAATGCTGGTTTTATATTAATGAATAGAGCTGTGGTCATGAACCTTTTTACATTTACAATAATTGGTGCTGTCTAGGCTTTTGCTCAGCTTCTCGAGGAAGAAGGCATAAATATTCCTGCCTGGTTGTCTTTCAACTCCAAGGATGGTGTTAATGTGGTCAGCGGCGATTCTTTGCCTGAGTGTGTTGCCGTTGCTGAACTGTGCACGAAAATTATTGCTGTGGGGATCAACTGCACCCCTCCTAGATTCATCCAAGATCTGATATTATCTGTCAAGATGGTATTTATTTTCTGTCTTTTCCTTAATTTCCTCCTTGTGTCACCATTTTTTTCTTCTGGCATGACTTTTGGTAAGGGTATTTACAGCCACAAAGTTCATCTGTTTATGATTTCTGATGGATTTTTCTTTTGCAAATTATTTTTGGTTTAGGTCCTTAGGATGCTTATGGATTAGAACTCAGGTGGTGGAAAAAAGTAGGAAAATGTGCAATTATTCCCTCTTATGGCCTTCCCTTAGGTCTTCCATGACCATTAAATATTTATGTTTGTACTAACTTGTCAAGTATTTGAAGGTCTAATGCGTGTCATATTTAATCACTTAGAATCTTGATGGTTTCACATTAAGTGTATTTCAGGATACTATTTTTTTTTTTTTCTACTGGCATTATTAGTTATGTGAATCCCTGAAGATTTTTAACAATCTTTAGTTCCATTTTGCTCAGTTGTATTATTGTTTTTAATTTTATTTATTGTTCCTTCAGGTGACAACTAAACCAATACTTATTTACCCAAATAGTGGCGAGAGTTATGATGCTGATAGGAAGGAGTGGGTGGTGAGTTCTCTGACATTTTCATTTCAGTTTTTTTGAGAAGCTGCTCACCGATATATTGTTTTTACAAACTATCTGACCTGGCTTGCTGATATTTTATTTTATTCTATTCTTGATAAAAAATTGTAGCGTATAGGGAAATGCTGCTTCCTTGTCCATTTAATGAAGGGTTTCCTTCAAAATAATCTAGTTCAACTGAGTACTTTTTTTGGATAAATCAAGTTTCATTAAAAATCTGTGCAAGGAGGATTCTTGATAATATAAAATGAGACACAATTCTCCCGCCATGGTTCTGGGTCGGGAATTTGACTTACTATGACGTACTTCCAGGTTTAGTCTATTACCCTTGATTTTGCCAAGAACTTTTAAGGCGTTCCTCTATTTCTATTGTTCGTGATGGACGTAATGTTTTTCTAAAGGCTGATTTATGCAATATTGTACTTTGGCAGTTTGGCAATAAATACAAAAAATTAGTGAGTACAAATAATTTTATTACATGTATCCATATTTAAAAATAAAGAAAAGGGAAATATGAACTGCCACAGTTTAATTGTTTGTGCTTAAATCAAATACTTGCATCTGTCTCTCATTAAGATCACCATGTCGTAAACAACAAGAACTTCCTTCTCCTTTTAATTGGTACTCCGAGGAGTTCCGAGTCAGCATTCCATATCAATTTTGTTTTAACTACGAATTTTCTGTTGCAGCAAAACACGGGTGTATCAGACAAAGATTTTGTATCCTATGTAAACAAATGGTGTGAAGTAGGAGCCTCCCTGGTAGGAGGTTGCTGCAGAACTACTCCCAACACTATTAGAGCAATTTATAGGACCCTCTCCAGCAGATCTGCTGCCCTGTCTTAAGAGTGTCTTAATGCAACCAACTACAGAAGGGGAGAGGTGTTGGCCTAAAGGACAAAGCTGATTCTGATATGAAGTTATGGATTTTTGTTCTAATTTCAAATGGAGAGATTAGACAGATACTCGCAGGAGAAAGGCTTTGATTGACATAGAGACTAGAAGAAAAGGTATACATCAGTGACTGGCTGATCTTGAAGATGCTTTATATTCTATTGATCACAAATTTACCTTCGGGGCATGTTTGGTAATACGTCACTGAAGTAGAAAAAGATTTCAGTTTTTACTTTTTAATACTATTCAGAAATGTCTAATTCACCTTATTAAACAGGCCATTTAGGTGGTCACAAAACTAATTATGTACTGCTCTTTTATGGAAATTTTGTTCTTAAAAATTTGTCAGTTGCCAAATTACTTGCGATCCCTGTCCTTTTTGCTGCCAATAAATCAATCTCACTGAATGAGCTTCTCTTGGATGTTCATCGAATTCCTTGTAAAATGAGGGATGTACTAGATAAAGATGGAAAGGTGGTAAGTGATGAAGGTAGAGCCCATCATTCTCATTATTCACTCTGTTGAATGAACTAAAGGTTGCACAAATGCTCATTGTTAATTCCATTTCATGATGCATTATTGCTAGTAGGATCTCCATCTCTAATGGTAGTATAATTTATTTCTTACCGAGATAATAATGTACACTCGTGATTAAGGGTGGATTAGGCTGGACGAGAGAGATCAAACCAGCAACCCAACACATGTCCATCTCTACCTACCCAAAAGGATTTCAAACTGAACTTGGTAACCAGTCTCTTTCCCTACTAGAAGTTCAGCACATTTGAGATGCGATTTTTCGATTGACGGGATTTGAAATCCTGGATGATGTTGAGGATTGCACCCCACCAGATAAAGACTGAGGGTAGAAAACGCAACCAGGATTTTGACTTCAAATTGAAGATCAACTTGGGCAGCAAGATTAAAGAGAGTGTCATTCAGGATGTGGAAGCAACTTTATCAGGGACAGCACACCTGCTGCTGTTTCTAACTTAGACTAAAATATCCTTTTCCTAATGTATACGGACGGTTGCAGAAATACGCAATTGGAAGCATCTAGTAAACATGAAATACCATTCCACCTGAAAGCCGTAAAAAATACACAATTGGAAGCATCTAAAAACATGAAAACCCATGCCAACTGAAAGCCGTAAATTCATATAAACGAGCTGAGACAATACAAATCAGAGTCATTGAAAAAAAATATCTTCAATTACTAGTCCGGGACACTTTCTTCGTTAAAATGTATGTGTAGCCACATCGATTTATAAAAAGCGTTTGTTTTCACTTCACAGATTGATATAAACTGCAAGCTATCAATACTGCAAAGAGGATTCACCAAAGCACACATAAACTACAAGCTACCATTACCGCAAAGTGGATTCACCAACATATATCAAAATAGAACTTTAGTACTAGAAATGTCATACGAGATTCAGGATTACAATATAAATGATGGTGAAACTAATAAAGACGGGTAAAGACTGATTAAGAATCAAACCCGGAGTAAACGCCACTCTCTCTTAGCAACCTCTTCTCTTCTTCCACATAGTTCTTCCCCCGACTAGCCTGACCAAGATCTCTTTTCCTCTTCTCCTTCTGTTGAAAAGAAAGATTCTTTTTATCTTTCTGTGTTTGCACGTTTTTTAGCAGCTCTGCATCAGCTAATGCATCTCTTGTTCTCAGTCGATCTTCATAAGTTTCTTCTACCTCCTTTGCCCGAGTTTCCTTTCCCGATGACCAAGACCAGTCCTGTTTCTGATCAGGCTCTTTTGGTGGTGGGATGCTCAAGACTGATAATCCTCCTTTATATCCATGTTGACTCAAAGCTTCAAAGTCGAGACCTTTGCTCCTTTTCTTTGCAGAGTCAACTGTATCCAAGTAGCAAAAATTCAAGGTCAAGCCATTAGAATCTATTTTTGGTTTTTCCTCTCCTTTTTCTTTCTTTCCTTTTTTTTTTAAAATCATGGTGGGGGCGGGGTGGAGTTGCAGTGAAAATGATTGGAAAGAGAGTCTGGGGTGTTAAGAATAAGAAACCCTAATTCTATTCCACCGTAAACAATCAATTCGCATAAAGAAAAATACACTCAAGAACACACAAGATTTACCGAGGTTCGCCTCATTCTCTCGCATCGCTGCAGTAATTCACTATAATGAAAATAAGTTTATAAGAGATAATAACATACCATATCTTCTGTAACCTCTCTCTCTTTTATGATGGTAATGATAAAACCTAATATCGTCTCCATATTTATAAGACAAATTAGGAAAAATTGAAATTAAAAGTTAGAAATTACTAAGCTACTTTAATAAAATTTTGGTCTGAGCCGCACACTCCGGTTCAATCCCACGGTAACCTCACTGCAGATGTCAATCCGCGTATTGGCTCCGCACAACGATAATAATTAAGCTCCGCAACTTAAAATGAAAATTCTGTGACAGATTATTAGACGATGTCATGTCAGTTATATGACGACTACATGGCAGATAATTAGGCAAATTGAATGTAGTTTTAGCCTTTTAGGTGAATCAGAAATTAGAATCAAGTTAGCCACAAGCAGCAGCTAAATTATCATCACCCATCAAATGCCCATGTTCTTTTCATCCGTTTACTTCTCTTTTGGTTTTTATCCGTGGATAGGGGGTGTAAATGATTAACCCTGCACTGCCGTCAATAAGATAGTTACACATTACAGAGTCGATAAAATTAAATATGGCTCAAATCAAAGCTTGGATGATGTTTAATGACCAAGAAAGTCATATCTAAGTAGCAATATGTAATGGCTATTGTTCGTGCACTCCACAGAATATCAATATTTATAATTAAGCTAGAATCTGAGCGTGTATCAGTGCAACTAGAAAGACGAGCAAATCATTCAAGAAATAAATAAGGTATAGTTAGATAGCACAACAACATAGCAACAAATAACAAGAATGTAGAGTGTAGACATGCAAGTCAATATCGAATCTCCACCAGAATAATATCAATGGAAAATAATCAAGATACATAAATTCTCCGACCATGTATTTATATAATAAATAGAGGAGAGCAATAATTTGTTACCTTGACAAGATTTCTTCTTGGAGGATCGAATTGAATTCTCCTTAGTAGATTTGGAGGCTTGATTATCTTCCGCGTCTGTATCTAGGGTTGATGAATCGTCCGAAGATGATGTATCATCGTCGTCTTCATCGTTCCACAGCAGTCCCCTCTTCATTTGTTATGTACAGACAGATGATTTCGAAAATCACAGAGCAGAAATCGATTGAGACCAGGGTTTTGAGGACAACGATTCTCGGAGTAAACGACGTCGTTGTGCCGTGTTAAAGTTGGGGCAATTTTTCAAAAACCCACCTTCTTAAAGGAGCAGATCAAGGCAACAAATGGTGTTGTCTTGTCACCTGACAACATGGGGTATGATGTGGCAATTGCGTCGAGATTTGTTGTTCAATTTGTTGTCCACAAATTAATTATTCAAAAATGCTACTTGTACATCAAGAATTGTACATAATGATGTACATCACACTCACATGGGGGTGGGATCCACGTGTATAAAATATTTTTTATTCAAGCGGGTCCCACCCCCATGTGAGTGTGATGTACACGCATATGTACACCTTGATGTACCGATAGCAAAATCGTTAATTATTCTACGTTAAAATGTCACCAACTTTTAAGTATAAGGAGCAGTTAGAGAAAATTAATTGGATAAACAACATATTGGATAGCAGATCGCAACCCTTGCAACCACAATGGATAGGAGATTAAACAACATGATTGAATGAAATAGACATAAAAAAAAATAAAAAAAATTACGTCCACAACTTGGTGCTTCTATTATTTTGTATTGACTTATCTGACTATAGTGAGTCCGATAAGAAATCGTAAATTTAGATCTTACGGGTAAGAAAATTAAGTTCGATGACCAAAAAAGGCACACATATAAGTTCAGTACCCAAGTAAATTTTTAAATTTTAACCCATAAAATCAAAAATGTCAGTTACTTTTAAAAACCATCAAGCAAGCAATTAAATGCAATTATTAATAAAGAGCTTATTTTTTTAAGTATGAATTCTCTAAAATAAAAAGTTCGTGTATTTAAAGAACCTCTTCGACATACTCTTCGATAGATAATATATTTATTTACTTAAATTTAATCTTATATACATTAGGATCAAATTTATTTTTTCATCAAGGCTAATTATACTTACACCATAATTTTTATTTCTTACCCCAAATTTTAATTGCACTGTTTTTAATCTTTACTCATTATAATACTCATATCTTCCACGATTTTTCATATCATTCTTATTCTCAAATTTTAATTACATAGCTTATTTTGTATTTGATAACAATTTTTAATCCAAAATTTCGTTGAAATGACGTAAAATAACTTAATTTTTCATCACATTTTAAAAAAATAAATAAATAAAAAATGAGAAAATATTTTTCCCACATTTCAAAGGATGAAAACAAAATATTTTTATAAAAATCATCATTAAGGATGAGATACACTAATTAATGAAAGGTTGAAGATAAAAATTCGATTGAAAAAAGTTAAGATAATAATTGCTACAATGAGCATTAGATTGAGGAATTTATAATATACTCTCTATCGCTTAACTTTATGTATGCTTGGAGCAGGCTGATATTATACTCCAATTACAAAAAATCCCCAATGGTTTTATGACTAGATTCGTTCCAATTTATTAACAACATTTTTTTTTTTTTATGAAATGTGTATTTCCTTTAAGATCTTGAAGTTTTTGACTTGATGTTTTATTAATGTATCGGTCGACTAACTTTCAACTAAGCCCTTATTTGGTGTAGATTAAAATTATTTTTAGTAAATTTTGCTGAAATAATTAGTTGAAAACAGTTACATAATGATTTACATGCAGATAATGTGTCAAAAAGACGGTGAATATTTTTTTTCATTGATAAATCATTATAACTTAATATGTACATATAACACAATTAGAAAAGAAAAACTCTCAATCAAACAACGGTAGAGACATGATTGTAGACAACTTGATACGTTGAGAAGGAAAAATTAATAGAGAGATTGATAAATTTAAAATTTAAAATATACACACAAATTTTTCTCTCCTTTTATCGTTAACCATATATTTTTTTTTTTGGCCAATGTGGACGAAAAAATTAGACTTGAGACATAGAGTGTGTTTGGAAGAAATTTTTATAGATTTTTTATTAAAATCCTGATTGAAATTTCTCCCAAACAGGGTCATAGTGTTCTTATGATTACATAAAATTGGATGATTAGGAAAAAAAATGGCCAACTAGAAATTAGAGCCTAATAAATTCAATTTTAACACAAATCATTTTTCAAGAAAATGACCTAAATTCGACTTCACCGATGATCTTTTCTTCTCGAGTTTTGCTGTCTTAAAACTCAATTATTGTAGGGGCCAATAGCCGTTAGTGGGCTCATGGCATTTCTTCCTCTTATTTCAAACTAATTATCAGGTTTTCTCAAATAAAGAAAAGAAAACTAGCCGTTGGTAATAGTGCCGGTGCGCCAGGCGCTTCAATTCAAGAACCCAGACACAGCGCTGTCCAAAAAAAAAAAGATTATCCCTTGAAGCCTCCATATACGTACACACAGATTCACACACAGACCTCCAAGTCAAAAACTTTTTTTTTTACCCAATGCTTGCACCCTTATGAATTTGGTTCTTTCGATTTCAATTGTTCTTGAAATGTGCCCATAATCAGATTCGAATTAGAGGTGAACTGAAAAACAATTTCCAGCTGTTTTTTTAAGATTAAAAAGAGGCAATGGGTGAATCATCTGCTATCCTTATGCGCTCTCTCTCGCAACCTTCTCCTACCTCCAGTGACGAAAAACAGGTCAGTCTAAGAAATATTTGTTTTCATATTTAAGATGAGATTTTACCCTTGACATATGTAAATGGTCTGAGAATACAAACCTTGCAATCCCATTGCTTATATCGAGTTGCTCGTTTGAACTTTTCGGCTCTGAAACTGTATTAGACTATCAGTCTTGTTAATTAATGTTTTGGTGTTTAAAGTGTGATTTCAACCTTGACAAATACCATTGGAATTTCCAATTTTTCTCTGCTAGTCAGCAATTTTATTAGGTGGGTTCTTATTTCTTTGCATGAAGATCTATTGACATGAATTTGATATTTGTTTCCGGTCGATGATTTTCTTTGTATTTCTTGAATTCTTGAGTACTAGGTTTAACTCAGAGCTTCTGTTCTAAGAAAATGTAGTAAAAGATGCTTTCTTTTGTGTGAAATTTGAAGTTTGAAATTGGAATTGGAAATTTTAATTTATTCTTATCTCAATTTCAAAGGCCTTGTTATAAAAAGTTCCGGAAAGTGAGGGGGATAGGCAAATTGTATTTACTTGAATTTTGAAAGAATTTGAGCATTTAGATACTGAATGAATTTATAATACAGAGGAATCCTCTGCAACGAGCCTTAACATCGTCGATATCATTTGGAAGATTCATGTCTGAATCGTTAGATTGGGAAAAATGGTCAGCTTTTAATCATAATCGATACTTGGAAGAAGTTGAGAAGTACAAGAGGCCTGGTTCTGTGGCTGAGAAGAAAGCTTATTTTGAGGCTCGTTATAAAAGAAGAAAAGCCGAAGCTTTGCTTGAGCAAGACAATGAAGCTTGTACTGATCTGCCTCAACTTAATGAGACAAATGAGAATCACGATGATTCTCCCTCGGATTCAGAATCTGAACAGAAAAATGGCAATGTGGTCACCGGAATAACCAAGAAAGATGAGGTTCGGAATAGTGAGGCCACAGTACTTGAAGAAATATCGGAAAATGCTGAAAATTCGGTTAAAAAATCATCGAATAAGCTTGAAATTGAAAGAGACATTGGTAATATTATGCCCAACAAAGAGGACAACACTCAGGAGAAGGTTTGTGTAAATAATAATTGCCTTTATTTATCATGTCTGTTAAATAGAACTTCCAGTTCCTATTTAGCTGATGTTTATATTCTAGGGTGCTACTATGGGAGATTCAGCGTTGTCAGGGAAAAAGAAGCCTGCATTTTCTCCAGCTAAGTTGTCAACAACTAAAAATTGTGATCTTTCAACTCCAAATAGCAAGAAGACTGTTAGAGACTCGACCAATATAAAGAGATCAACTCCAAGATCCCTTCACAGATCGATTAATTTTGATGTTCACTCTCGAAAGGCCGTCAAAGCATCATCTCCCGGCCCAAAGAAGATTGTAAACTCTAGATTATTCCCAACTCTTTCCAGTAAATCTAAAGACAGCGCTGTTGCACCAACTTCGACTCGGGTGCCTTATTTATTCTCCTTTCATTCATGATCCATCAATTTTTTACTGTTTTTGTTTGAATTGTTTCTAATTCAGAAGTAATTTCTATTTGGCTAAGTGTAGGCATCCATGAATAGTATGGTGAAGCATCCTGCGATAACCCCTCGACCAGAAAACAAAAGGTACCTTACTTTTCAAGTTCTATAAGGAAAAAAATCTCAAATCCTAAAGAAGAAATTCCGCAACAGTGTACTGATATACAACATAATAAACACTATTGTAAAAAGAGAATTAACCATGTCTTTATATGAAACCGTGCTCCAGCTATTCAAGACCTTCCAGCACACGTGAAAGCAAAGCACAACCCCCTATTGTGCCTTCTTCTTTCATCTTCAAAAGTGAAGAACGAGCAGCAAAACGTAAAGAGGCAAGTCAAACACGGTTTTGAGTTTTCTTATCTTATCTTCATATAATGTCCTAATATCAATTCTGATGCCGCAATCTCAACTATCAACCTCCTTAACAGTTTTTTCAGAAACTAGAAGAGAAGAAGAATGCAGAAGAGCCAGAAAAGCAGCAGCTACGAGCAAAATCAATGGTTTCTTTATCAATTGTATTATTGAGATACTATTGTTTCTGAATATTAACAAGGTTATCCGAAAGTTTCTCTCAATAAGAAAACATATTAAATAGTCACCAACTTCTTGTTTGTGCAGGAGAAACCGAAAATTGATTTTAGAGATTTGCGCCATTCCATTGCATTTAAAGTTGGAGCGAATGGAAAGATTTCTGGTAAAGCAGAATCACCAAACAGTATTGTGAAGAAGGTAATGAAGTATTTTATTTTAATATTTCTGTTACCTTTCCTTTTCAGTGTGTTATGTGATTGTCACCAACTTCATGTTTGTGCAGGAGAAACCAAAA